AATTTGATTTCCAGCAATTTTTAATAACCCAGTCTGTCTTTGTACAAAGGTTGTTTCCAGCAACTCACATAAAAAACAAATGTATGCTACATTAACAGTGCATTAAAAAAAATATTGTAGCAGCTGAATCAATGTAATGAAATACACAAAATCTTGTTTTATGAAGTGCAACCAGCATGGTGCTTTAGATAATGTATTCACTACTCCAGTTTTTAATGTAAAAACACAGACTACTGCTGCTACTGCTAAGAATGTTATTAAATAATTGTCTAGTGTTATTTAATGTTGATACACGTACATATGTGACAGGGGGAGAGAGCACGCAAGCGAGTGTGTCTGCATTTATTACGGACAAACAAAGTAAACATTTATTGCGGAGAAAAAGCCTTTTCCGCATTTTACGCTAAAAATGCGCCGGCTTGCACTCTAGTGAAATGCCATAGACTTATAATGACTGAGCGACGGAAATAAGACGATTGGTAACGAAAAACCCATGAACGGCAGGCGGCAAATTTAGTTTTAAAACGTGTCCAGTTGTTTCAGCAGAATACAGTGATGAACTGTACATAAGATAAATAAGGCTATTTAGTTTGTTTAATAAAAGGACAAGATATAAACCTGTTCTATAGGAAAGGTAGCCTTAAATGACTTCTGTTGTGATCTTGCGCTATATATAAAATAAAATTAAATAAAATTAACTTGGGGCGTCCCCCTAATAGAATGGTAGGGTAAATACATTGTGGTATATGTAGCCACATTTGTAGCCACATAATAGCTGATTGTGTTAACAACCACGACTTCCCCTGCGTTCATTTAAACACGTTTGTGTGTGAAGGGACTGGGCGGGTAACACGGCCGGCAGTAACGCCATTGGTTGCACTTGAAGTTATTAGTTATCTAATCCGACAGTAAACGGCTCAATGATAAGAATATTCTCAGAGTTATGGTCTCGAAATAAAATCCGGAGTCCATGACTAGAGCGAGTACAAATACGGCTGATTCAAAGACAAGATCGAGACCTTCAAAAACTGGTCTTGAGTACTACAACATTTGATATTACTATAAATTTCTATCATGAAGAAATGAAGCAGTGGTGTAGTGGTAACAAGAAATTTAAGGTGGGTAAACTGTATGTACAGCAGTAAAAACGGTGGGTAACTATTTATATCCTTAACATTAGTGATCTCAAAAAAGGTCAGTAAACGCTGTTTTGTAAATTTAAAAGCTGTGTAAATGTGCATTTACCCTCCACTAGACTACTGAATGAAGAATTTGCATTAAGTAATCTGAATAACTGCATAAAATAATCCAAAAACTCCACAACGTCACATAATACATCAGTGTCTCTCCGACCTATCGTCAAATTCTGGCAGAATTAAAACAAGACTCTGTTGTGTCCGCCTCCACCATTTTTTAAATGTTTTTTTCAGTTCTCCCAGAATTCATCACGTAAGCTACTCAAGGCACGCTACTGGTTCTCATCACCTTTTTCTTTTATGGCGGTTGGCATCCAGCTTAACGGTACTTTATACTGCCACTGCGGCTTTAGTTAGCTTACTGCTCCCAAATTAGGAGGTAGCCACTGTACTTATGTGTATAATAACGTAGACCCAACTAATCGATTATTAAATTAGCTGGCAACTATTTTAATAATCGATTTTAATCGATTAAATCGATTAGTTGTTGCAGCCCTAGATTCATTTCCCCACGCGGACATGTTATCTTAGGTCGGCGTTCACGGTTTGACTTCTGAGATTCAGATCGAGCTCTAGGTAAATTTTTTTCAAACTGATTAGTTCGACTTTTAAGAAATTCGAGTTCTAATGAGTTCGAGAACTGAGGTACCACTGTATATACTTTTACATGCAGTCTTAATCTTGTGTTACGTGCCACTGCATGTCCAGCTCCACCCACGGCCAGGTTTACTCTGTTCGACCTTTGTTCCGCCTCCCCATCTGGACTCCGCCCATGTCTCGCAGCAAGACCCTGTCACTTCCATCTGCCTGGAGTGATAAAAGCCACTGGTTACCAACCTCAGGAGCTCTGCTCATTTATTAGTTATTGTTGGTTTGCTTTTTTTGATTTGCTTTATTGTGTATTATGGTTTCGGTTTATTAGTTTATGATTATTTGCTTTGTCCTTATCTGTACCTTTGCCTTGATTTGTTTGCTTTCTGGTTTCAATCTCTCGCCCCGTTTTTGGTTTACGTCTTCGCGCACCCCTTGGATTCTGATGCTTTGCCCTGTGTATGTTCTGTGTGTTTGTTAGGTACGTACGCAGTGGTTGCCATTTTTGTTTACGAGTTTTGTGTATGCTGTTGTTTTAGATAGGGAGTGAGGAGCAGTACTTGTTTTTGTTCTTTGATTTCTCTTGCACGTAGTTAAGTTAGATTTGGGTTGCGTTCGGTAGCTGGGTTTTTGTTTATTATTTTGGCTATAGTCATTCTGTGTCTGTCGCATGTAAATAAAAAAAACAGAAAAATATATAAATATACCCCTTACTCCCTTGTGCACCACACCGTGTGTTTCCCTTATTCTACTTCCCCTTTCCCTTCCACTCTGTTATGCCCCAACCTTAGACTGGGGCTTGTAACAGAAATTGGGGGCTTGTCCAGGATAGAACTGTTAAATATTGGTGGCATCGTTCCTCTGTTTTGTCTGTGTCACTCAGTCCCTGTGTCTTTTTTTGGCGGATTAACTGTGGTGGGTAAAGTCTGTGTAATTGGGATTAGCATGGCGACGTTCGACCTGCTTGAATTTACCCTGTGCCCCACACAGGAGCAGTTTCATAATTGCAGGAAGACCTGGTGGCCATCGCAGGTTTCTATAATGTGGTAATCCCTGTCGGTGCTTCAAAATGGGAGATTAAGCAGGTCCTGCAGGACGATTTGGTCACGCAGGGAATCCTGCTGGAGCCTGGTGATCTCTCGGGTGTTGCACCTTGCCCAAACCGGTCGCCTACAACGGCAAAAGCCCAGTGTCCGAGCCACGCATGGATCCCAGGGATCCTGGCTCGCCTAAGGAGGACATCCTCCTTACAATTAGGCTTAGGGAACTCAAGTTGGAGATTGAGAGGAAGGATTGCCAGGCCCAACTCTTGCAGATAAGGGCTTTGGAAATGCAGGGCAGATCGGGATGCTGCCCTGCAAAAGGTGAGGGAGAGCCAGCCATAGCCTATTCCTCAGCCTTGTAAGGTATGCTTGCCCCTTGGAGCTGCTCGCTCCACCGCATCCTTGCACTCAGTCTCCGACAGTTCCAACCCGGTTCCCTGAGAGAGAGAATGTCGGATTTGATGTGAGTTGTAATATTGGACTTGTGCCCATATTTAGAGAAAATGAAGTAGATGCATATTTCCCCATCTTTGAGCACATCGCGACCACTCTGAATTGCCCCATGCACCATTGGTCGCTTTTGCTGTAGTGCAAAATCGTGGGGAAAGCTCAAGAGGTTTGTTCGGCTCTTGGTTTGGAACAGAGCCTTGATTATGATGTTGTAAAAGCTACTGTCTTGAGGGCATACGAGTTAGTGCTTGAAGCTTACTGGCAAAACTTCCGGAAGCTTTGTAAATCTGCCTCTCAAACCCACGTGGAATTCGCTCGGAAGAAGTCTCTCCTCTTTGATAAGTGGTGCACCGCTAGTGGTGTGACTGATTTTGATCAGCTCAAGGAGCTGCTTTTGCTTGAGGAGTTTAAAGCTGTGTACCTGACCGTGTGGTTATACATCTAAACGAACAGAAGGTTACGTCTCTTGCGGAAACTGCTACCCTCGCTGATGAGTTTGTGTTGACCCATAGAACTGTATTTGCCCCTACTCCTTTGCCCCGCAAGCCCTATCCTAGATCGGTGCTGCCTCCTGAGAAGGCTGCTCCAACAACCCCGCCGGTAGAAATGAGAATGTTTCTATTGTCATGAAGTTGGTCACCTCATATCTGTTTGCCCTGCGCTTCGGTGCAAGAATGCTCACTTGGCTGATAAAAAGGTACATGTTGCCGATTGTATTGTAGATGTCTCGCCGCCAACCCACAGCGTCGATCCTGCCTTCCAACCGTTTGTGTTTACTGGTTTTGTTTCGCTTAATGACTCTGATGTAAAGTGCCCTGTAACCATTTTGCGTGACACTGGGGCTGCTCAGTCCTTCATGCTTGATAATGTATTACCTTTTACCGACTCGACCTATTCTTGTTGTGATGTTCTTGTGCAAGGTATTGAATTGGGAATTGTGAGAGTGCCTCTTCACCAGGTTTATTTA